GCGACAGACGCAACTCGCCCGGCGCTGCGACGCGGTCCCCCACGACGCAGCAGAGGGCGCGAAAGTCTGCCGCAGCCGCAGCCGACGGCACAGTGCCGGCAGGCGGCGCCTCTTGCAGGTTCCCCTCTCTTGGCCTGTGTAGATGTATCCCCGTCGCCAGTGGTGCCACGCCGGTCGACGATGCAAAGGAAGCCTCAATGGCATCACATACCGGAGACATCGTCTCTGCAGCGCACCAATCTCTGCACAATGCCCCGGGCCTCACGACCTCGGTTGGACGGCACCAGCAACCGTCACCACCGCCCAGCCAAAGCTTCCACATACCCGACTCGTCCTTGGCATCCTCGTCGTTCAGCCAGGTCGAGCCGAGCTCTACCCAACAGACCTCCCGGGAGAGCCGGCAAACGGTTATCCACCTCCGGGATTTGGCGCACATGCAAAGCCTCGCAGACGCCAAGATGCTTGGGGGGAGCAGCTGCGCATCCTTGGACCCAAACGTCCAGATCAAGTATGAAATCAGCGGAATGCCCATTGCCGACATAATCGAAATGGTGGCTGCCCTGCTCACCAAGATCACCACTACCAACGACTTGCAGCACGATGCCATGCAGCGAAACGTGGCCCATCAGCAGCAAGCCAGTCAGTCCAACGACTCTGGGTCTCACATGAGCCCTCTGAGCCATTCCGTCCTGGCTTTCCACGGCAAAAACGTGCCCGCAATTACCATCTTGAGCTACCTCTCGCGCATACACAAGTACTGTCCCACAACCTACGAAGTGTTTCTCAGCCTGCTAGTCTACTTTGACCGCATGACGGAGCGAGTCAACGAAATTGTCATGCATAGCGAGCAATCCCAAAGCCGGGCTGCTTCGCACTCGCACCCTGCATCGTCGGGGGCATCGCGGGGAGACACCACCATGCACGAAGATGCCCACGAGTCGGACGAGAGCGATTCAGACTTGGCAGACGACGACGACAACGATGACGAAATGGTAGACTCTCCTACAGCGGCAGGTGGACGCAACGAATCCGGGCAGGCTGCCACAGAATCCGATGACCGAGTCGCAGTTAGCCCGGCAACATACTTTGTAGTGGACAGTTTTAATATCCACAGATTGATTATTTCCGGGGTGACTTGCGCCAGCAAGTTCTTTTCTGACGTCTTTTACACCAACTCTCGATACGCCAAGGTACATTGGTCTCTCTGCATAGGGCGCCTTGTCCCCCAAAGAACATGGACATTTTACTGACACTATTCTCCCAGGTCGGAGGCCTCCCGCTTGCCGAGCTGAACCATCTGGAAATCCAGTTCCTCGTCCTCAACGACTTTCGGCTCGCTGTCCCTGTTGAAGATTTGGAAGCCTACGCCACCATGCTCGTCGAGTTTTATGCTCGTGAAGTCATGGCACAAAAGTCGGCGCCAGGAGCATAGAAGCTCCGGAAGGTCCCAAGACTACGAGACGCAAGACGGGGAGAGAGAAGCGAGCTGCTGTAGCTTGGTCATGGTATGCACCGGGCTCAAGCTGCAGTGCCGCGCGCCACGAGGGCCACTCTAGGGATCCTCGATGCTAGGTGGCGAGGGCAGGACGGGCGAATCTCAGCCCGCGCACATGGATACGATGAGCGCCAGACTAAGTAGGTGGGAAAACAAAATCAAGAGCATAGGAAACCTTGGAACGTAGCTACACAGCATGCCAGGTTTCTTTTTTGGGTTGAACTCGGGGTTGCCAGCGCACTTGCATGTTTCTTAACGCAACGAGGCATGTGCGAGATGATGATGAAAGGCGAAGGAGACGGCCGAGAAGTCATGGATCAAGGGCTGTAGATTTTGCGCTATATGCCTGGTTAGATATGGGGCGGGGCACAGGACACGGCATGGTGGCATGGGTCAAGGGCGGGCGGAGGGACGGGATGCATTCACATAGGACAGGCGTATGGTGTTGTTCTTTTTGGTCGTGGTCATGGTGGGGGAGGAAAGTAGGGAAATTCTTTTTGTATCATTGCGCTTTTGTCGCATCTCGTTGGGGGGAATGCCAACCGAATAAAACGATAGATGTGACGAGGCGCTTGTCAAGGGGGGTGCAAATACACGATGTGAGTAGATGAACGTTTTGGAGTGCGCTGACGGTTGTGGGCTTGCGAACATTGAAGCATCATTCTCCGGGGCGGATGTAGTCGACGTGTACGGAGTAGGGATCAAATGAACGGTGGTTACGAGGTGCCTGGTAGTTGCAAGGTGAATGTTGCCGCCGTTTGCAAGGTCTCTTGAGAAGTGGCGTGGGTAACATGCTAGCTCCCAAGTGGTCCAAGTGGCTTGCGTCCATGTCTCCGCTAAATGTTTCTCTAAAACTGCGAATAAAAACCATGCTGGCTTCTCAAATGTCCACGGCTTGTATCCTGCACAAGACCAGGTTATCAGAACTAGAACGACAAGCTCGTTTATCAAGCCGCAAAGCCAAACGCTCATTTTGTAGAGGACTGTGTAAATACCGAGCAAGTAGCACTTGAGTGTACAGCCCTTACAACCGGATTCACGCCCCCAAGTAATGTAGCAATGGCATCTAGAAACTCGGAAAGAGACTTGTGTATAGTCCTGAAATAACTTGGCCTGTGTAGATGTATAAGCAGGAACAAATCGCATTTTGTCCCTACGGTCAAACTACAACCTCATCTACAGTTGCTGGAGAGGCAAGAATATAACAGTAAATGGAGGCAAGAATATAATAGTAGATGGAGGCAAGAATATAACAGTAGATGGAGGCAAGAAGATAATAGTAGATAGAGGCAAGAATATAACAGTAAATGGAGGCAAGAATATAATAGTAGATGGAGGCAAGAATATAATAGTAAATAAAGGCAAGAATATAATAGTAGATAGAGGCAAGAATACAACAGTAGATACAGAAGCAATATAAACACTCTTTATAAGTCAACCTCTACAGACGTAGCTGAGATGCGGGGACCAAGAATAATAATGGCCACGTCATCTCCCGGGATAATGGGCACCAAGTGCGTCCCCGCACGTCCTTAGTGATGAGCAGACAGGAACGACAGTCTGCACAATATATATTCAGTATAAACGAAAAGACGTGCCCTCCGCGCTAATGTGGCATGTACAAAAAAAAAAAAAGAAACGGCGAAACGCACAACAAAACAGTCGCAACTAGTAAAGACAAGGTAAGGCGTACCTGATTCAAGCACACGTACGGAGTACACCAAGGGTGAATATAAAAGATAAAAAAAAGAGCCAAGTCGGTGCAAGTCGTGGACCATCGTGATAATCATAGGCAACGGCAGTAAAAAAAAAAAAAAAAATCTACAGCTTCGCCCTCGGCGGCCGCCACACGTCAATGGGCAGGTCGAAGCGCAGGTCCGCATTCTCCATCTTCAGGCCGAGCTGCCAGCGGCGCAGGCCGGGCCAAAAGTTGCGGTGCTCGCCGCGCGGGTTGCCGGCGCGGTCGCGCTGGGCAATGTCGAACCAGCCGAGGCGGGTGCGGCGGCTGTACTGGTCCGGGGCGAGGGAGCACCAGGCGTCGGTGCCGGGGAGCTCGCCGCGGCTGCCGGCGCCCCGGGGCAGCGGCGGCATGACCAGCGTGGTGTCGAGGCCGAGGTAGTTGACCCAGCTGGTGGCGAAGGGAAAGGCCGGCACGAAGCGGATGGGCGCGTAGCTGGCCTGGAAGAAGGGGACGGCGCTGGGCCGCGCCTCGGAGGCGTCGCCGTGCGTGTCGTGGGGGTACACCTTGACGGTGACGGAGTCGTTGGGGCCAAAGGACCAGTCGAAGCGGGCGAGGTGTTTGGGGGTGTTCCAGTCTGTGGTTGTTTTGGGACGAGTGAGTAGGTGAATGAATGAATGGATGGATTGCGTTGTGTGAGAGTGAGTGAGCGAGTGAGTTGAGTGCGAGTGAGAGTGAGTGGCGAGGGTCAGGTCAATACTCACTCAGCCGGCCGTTGTAGCACGAGCGCTCCTGCGACACGTAGATGCGCGAGATGCGCGGGTTGCGCCCCACCTCGGCCGGCCGCCCAGCCGACGTGTCTCGGGACCAGTCGAACGAGCCCGGCACCACCAACATCTCGTCGTACGGGCCGACGGGCGAGTCGCGATAGCGCAGGATCTGGATCATGGCCAGCCCGCCCGCCGGCCGCCCCGACGCCGGCGCCGCAAACTCGGACCCGGCCTCGAGCGGCGAGTAGGCGTGCTCCGGCAGCTGCTGCGACGCCGACGACCACCACGAGAAGAAGTAGACGTCGCCCGTGAGCTGCCACGGCGGCGCGACGGCGGGGATCGAGGGGGACGACGACGACGACGACGCGGGCTCGTCCTCCGGCGGCAAAGAGTCCGTCGTGCCGCCGTCCCCCGGCTTCTCGACAACCGCCGTGGTCGTTGCCATTGCGCGGGCCGTGTTTAATCCCCTTTCCCTGCAGTCTCGCCCTCTATCGACCCGTATAAAACCACTCGGGTCGCCTTGTCCCGTCGCCTCTTTTCCTTTCCCGCGTCAAGGCCACGTCGACTCCGACTAGAATCAAAATGGCACCTGTAACAACACGCCGCTTAATCTTGAAAAGACGAGTAAAGGGGCACGACGCATATACAACGGGACCGCCGAGAAACAGGCAGCCCATGTCAGGCGAACAGGAACCAAGAAAAAGGAAAAAGGGGGGGGGGGGGGAATTCGATCCATCTAATAAGTAGTTTTTTCTCTTCCCCCTTGGCCGGAGGCTGCGGCATATGGAGACGGGATAAACGGTCCTCGTCTCGCCCTTTCTCTCTGCATTAACCGCGGGACACGTTGGGGAGCCGCGGATTCGCACGGCATGCCGCTGTATAATAAACATGTGTCGCGTTATAAGGCCCGCCGGGTTTGGCAGTCTCCTCTTCTGCCCACTCAACCCCCCCTCTCCCCTTGTGCCAAGCAAATTGATTAAAATTAAAAAGCCATGGCTGGCCCATGTGCTTCGGCGGAGCTAGGAGCCAGCCGGCGCAGCGATCCGCTGGGTTTTTGTTTCGTGGCCACCGACGCCCGTCTGCTTGTTTGTTGATGTGTCGACTTTGGCAGGAGGGACCCGGGGTGCCGCTGATGGAGCGACGTCGTCATGGAAGGTGTTGCTTGGTGCGGTTCTGGAGCCGTCATGACGAGGGACGACGAGGGACGACTCACGTACCGGGTCTCTCTCTGGCCGGCAGTGTGGCAGTGGCAGCCAACCGCGCCCATGCCGTTGCATCATGACGGCTGAGTAGCCCGGTACACGTAGGTTTCTAGTGACGTGCATGACGGGGGCGTGCTGCCGTCCTTTTGCAGCCCTCCAAGGACAGGCAGTGTGTGTGCTGCATCGCCCATTGCCGGCGCGGTGTGCGCTCGGCTCCTGGCCGATTGGGCGCCGGGCTGCGCTGCAAACAGATGTCATGCGGCAAAATGGTGCGTGGTCCCATGAGGTAAATGTATAGTCTATACATACTACCGCTGGCAGCCCATGGCATTGATGTTTGTAGCAACATGGCCGTCCAACCAGTTGAGAGACACACCCTCTCAACCACCCTCCCATTGCCGTCGACTCCGCATTACATCTCCGTCTTGTACTCGGCACAGTTTACTCCATCGACGAGGCATGGCATGAACAGAGGCGCCAAGGCGACGAAACAGGCAGATGCTACTCCGTACATGACCGCAAATGCGCCCCGGTCCACAAGTATGGCGTGATACTGGCCGGGCCAAGGCGCAGGGAACCACGGTGGCACAAAAAGTCCACCTAGGGACGCAGGCTCGGACCAAACTGGTCTAAATGGACGACATTCCCTTCCCACCACACTCTCTTGTTTGAAAAAAACTGCCTCGGCGCCAAACATCACTCACCTGCCAACTCCCGTCGGCGCAAAGACGTCACCCGGCGGCATCTAGGGCCACGGCAAAAGGGTCACGGTGGCCGACATGCCATCGCGGCAGTTTCCAGCATCAGCATGGTCGGGAATACGGCCGCTCCCTGGCGCTCGTCAGTTAGGAATACGGCCACCTCGGGCTTCCCCCCCCAAATGCCCAGACAACCACCGCCCCGCGGGGAAACGAAGCGCAATGCCACGCAGGCACGGCACCAGGAGTGACTCGAGAACCGGGTATAGAGTCCGGGGCCGACGCTAACCAACTGCTACGGAGCAGTATGGCGTAAAAGACACTTCGACGGCCACCCTGCATGGCTTCTCGGCCGAGTCGTCGTGGTCTTTTGTGCACCTAGCAGTCGACCACATGTAGCTTGTTTCTGGCCAACAACGCGAGGCAAACGCCGCATCGTGAGCGGTTGCAGAGTCGCCAATGCACGTACCAGACCACCAGCAAGCCACACCTGCCCTTCCGGCGCTCGACGCCAAGCTGCATGTCCGTCGTGTCCGTCATTGCTGTCTTGTAGGGCTCATGGGGCCATCACTTGTGTTCTGTTGCACTCCGTGCCGCCGCATGCCGCGTGTGCCCTTGACCACCAACTTCAGGGGGGCCGTAGTTTCTTCGGCAGGCCCGGGCTTTCCGTCTCATATCCAGCCAACATAGACAGACAAACCGCTTCTGGGCCCATGCATTTGTCTCGGTACGAATCAAGTAGCTATTTTTAGAAACTGTGAATTACATGGTGTAGCCTGTATCCGTCTCAGCACGTATGTAGAGGCCAAATCAAATCCCCTACAAAACTTGGCACACAATCCGCCTTCATTCCTCTCCAGTTGATCGTATTTGCACACCGTTTCATACGAGACTCAAAGACAACTTTGGCATCGACCCGAATCAATCTGTTTGCAATTCATCTGACACGAGTTTGTGGGAACCGAGGGAGCGGCGAAACCTTGGGTTAACATAAAATTGTGCGTTAAATTAAGCCTATTCTTTTCTTCTAATCTGATGGAAAGTAAAAACATATGCCAATTCTAAAATCGTAATAGTTGAGCGAGACGGTCGGTGCCCTTCCTTTAACAATGACAATGAGTAACTAGGACACTAATCCGGGCTGGTCAAGGGCCAGAGTCTCAGTCTGGTTACAGACGAACCCCATTCTGGTAATTCGGATTGTGTCCTGGGAATCTTGACATTTGAACTTGCCACTGAAATACGGAGCCCATCCACTTGCCTCGGATCGACCTGAGAGTTGTTGCTGGACTGTACGGCAAAGTAGAGAATATCTGCAAGAAATGGTTCAACCTCTTGCGGCGTCAAGTCGTCGACCTCTCCTGCCGCCACCATCTTCATAATTGCCGACGTCAAAGGTATCGCCCCAGATATTTTGGACTCGGACCCCGTCATTCGGTTCATGGCAAAAATGGCCACCGTGCCTGCAAGATTTGGCGCCAGGTGCCAGTTGTCTTTATCCTGTGGTGGTGGACCAAAGAAGAAGTGGACGACGAATGAGCCGTCTAGAGCCTCGACATTGACTTCAACATTTGCGACCCATTCGGTGTAGTGGTTTCCCTTGAAGATGCTTGAGCCATGGGGATCTTCTGCGTCATACTTGATGTTGGGTCTGAAGCTAGATCGCCCATGACCAGCATTCGCTGGCTTCTTTGTTTCAGGACTGCTCCATCTGGAGCCAGCTTCCTTCTCCATTAACCCGACCGGGCTAGAAGACCCGTACCAAATGTTTATCTTTTTGACTAGTGCCTCGCGTACGTCTTCATTATATCCCGTTTTCGCCGTGGTATCAGCATAAGCATACCCGAACGCAATTGTACTTCTGGCCATATCTGAGGTCCAGAATTCTCCCTCATCGGTGGCGAAGAAGGGAGTCAGAGCCGACTCGGCTGATTGCATGGTCCCTTTCAAAGCAGTAAAGCTAGTTTCTCCTGCAGGCATTGGAATAATCCAAGATGACGGGTTTAGTATTTGCCACATGGTTATCAATCGGTCAGTCATGGTGTGATGCAGAAAGAAGAGGGGATCAAATGAAGAAAGAGGGACATAAGTCAAGTGACCTTTGGAGCCTCCATACATATGGATAACGTCGTGAACAGACTCGATCGAGTCCAACGCGGAAAGTCCCTGGGAAACAGCCCAGGCTTTGTTGCTGAATGAGTTGAATTCGTGGTAGCTGGAAAATAGAATATATAGTCTTTGTTGAAGTTCTGGTAGCTTGGACAGCAAAGCCTTGTTTACTTCCTCATTATTTGACGGTGGTGAAGTGAGACTGACTGTGGTATTTGGGGCGCGTTTTGTTTCGTTCCATTGCTTCAACTGTTGCCGAGTTAGTTAAAAAGCCTCAGTTGTCATGGAATTTTACTTGCCGGGTTCCATATCATAGCTTCTTTATCCAGCGGGTGAAATTGGTACGAATACAAAGGGTTCCGAATATTTTGCAAGCCATTGGGACCATATTGCAGTATAACGGGGCTCCAAAAGACATCGGGAAGATGAGTCTCGCCACTTGGTGCTTGCAGAGACCAGTCCCAGTATGGGGTTCTAAAGATGGAAGCTGCTCGCTGGTATAGTCGTCGTTCGGTGGCATTTGCAAACATCACGGCAATTGCATTGACCATCTTATACATTTGTTGCTAGTTGAAAGCGTCAATGTGTGGTGATACCTTGCTGGGTCCCTCGGTTTGGGACACAAGTCTTACCTCGAATAGGGCCAGGTATGGTCGATGCCACATGGGAAACAATACCGAGCTATGGGTGCAATAACCAGACTGGTCAGTCCCAGGGAGAGGCTCGACCCCGTTCCATGTTGTAAATGGAACGCCATGAATGCCTAGAATCATACATCAGCAAGATCCAAGGCATATATGGCATTTTTTTTTCAAAAGACTTGCCAGCAATCTGATACCAGGACAGGGGATCGTCTTGGTCGGCGTACTGAAACATGCTCAGGGCAAGAATATAAAGATCCCATGCGTATTTATTGCCTCTCAATTGACGAATTTCTAATCGTAAAGGAGTTGTGCTATTTGCCGGAGTTGGTAGGCGGCCAATAACAATTGGCCCTTTGGAGTCATCTCGGCGGCTAAGTTTGGATGTGTTTGTGCCAAAATTGTATGATTGCGAAATGACAGCTGAGATAAAAAGGCCGAGTACAAACCACGGCACCATGCCCCGGAAGTAGGGACGTGGCATTTTGTATCAGTCAGAGTGACGCAACGAGTGTCGCTATCGTGCTTGCTGTCGGCGAATTTCTGTTTAGTTCTAGATGTGAAGTGTTGGTCAGATGCCGGGTCTCAGGAGAGTCAGGACGGAAAAAAGTCTAGTGTTTGGGGGAGAGTATAAAAGACCGCAATGCGTTTTTTTTGGAGAGACTTTGCAGAAATAGACTCTCAAATCTATCATCTCTAGAAAAGGTCGGCAGCAAGATGAGAGGATGCGACAAGCAGCGAAACCAAAGGGGAAAACATGACGTGCGTGCGAGAATGAACCGTATTCACACGTAGAGGGGAAGAGGCAAGAGCTCGATTGAATTTCTGTAGCCAAAAGCACGTGTCTGAATGTGAAAGCATGGAAGGCGAACCATAAGTTGTACAGGCGGAAGGAGCAACAAGCGCGGATCGTGGACAGGAATGATGTATCATCACATCATCACATTTGCCTTCACTTCGTCCTCTCGCGACCCGGACTACGCCCACAGTACAAAGAGTACGTCTCGATGAATCGAGGCTGTAAATGTCTTATATTTGCTACGGTGTCATTGATACAAAAATAATAAAAGTAAGCAAGCCCCTCTCTTCAACTATAGAAGAAAAGAAGGCAGATGCTGAAAGGAGAGCTGGGCCACTATGCCTTCTCATACATACTCTTGACTCCTGCCCCTGATGAGACTTCTTCCGGCTCTGCAAACACCTTCTGAAAAACATCACCCAGCCTTCGCAGAATATCATCTCCGTTTTGAGCAATCTGGTAATGTGTTACCAGTCGGCCCCCGGACACGGTGAGGCCAGCAGTCCGGCTCAACTCGATGAAGCGGTCCTCGCTACACTTGGCCGAGTCGAGATCAATCCAGCACATGTTTGTGTGCACCGGATGAACGAGTTTGCCACCCATGCCACTCCACAAGGCCTCAACCTTCTTGGCCATATCGTGTGACGCCTTTAGCCAACCATCACTGCCGTCAGCCTTCTTGCCAAACGTCTCGTCTACAGCAACTCTAGCACAGGCTGTGATGAATCCAGGCTGCCTCATACCACCACCAATAGATTTGCGAACCCACCGAGAGTGCCTCAGAGTCTCCTGGGAACCAACGAGAAGGCTTCCAACCGGTGCTCCCAGGCCCTTGGAGAAACACAAGCTAATTGTGTCAAAGTGAGCACAGAACTCGGGCAACGAGCCAGCACCAGCTGCCACAGCCTCCCACAAGCGAGCGCCGTCGCAATGCATTTTAATGCCATGTCGTCTTGCAAAATCGGAGATTCGCTTGACCTCGGACAGAGGCATAATCATGCCATTGAGAGTATTCTCCAGACTAATCACTCGCGTTGGACAGGCATGCACATCATCGCTGAGCACAACATTTTGCTTGATGTCTTCAAGAGTCAAATGAACACCGTTTTTTGGAACAACTGTCGTCACGGTAGCACCAGTAAGCGTGGACACACTGCGAAGATCGTGGCCAAGATTAGCACGGTGCAACATTGAAACAGAAAGACAAGACGTGTGAGATGTTTACTTACCCACCGGCTTCGTATCGAATAATATGCGAGCGATGATCACATAGAACAGAGTGTGGTGGCTGCGTCAGAAGACTTCTAAGGGCAAGTTGATTACCCATGGTTCCTGATAGGACAAACAGTCCGGCTTCCTTGCCCGACAATGCAGCAACGTGAGCTTCAAGTTCCATTGTAGTCTTGTCTTCTCGAAAGACGTCGTCTTTCAATGTACATGACTGGATGGCAGCAAGCATAGATGGTGTTGGTGTCGTCATTACATCGCCTGAATACACTTGCGTTAGCAATTGCCTCGTCGGAATACCAAGCGCAGTCGCAGTCTTGATATTCCAGGTGCTGTAGCGTCTTACTTCTCAAGTCAAATGCGGCAGGACCCTTAGCACCAATCCATGCATTATGTTCCCCTTCAAATCCTGGCATGGCGTTGCTGTTGCTCAGGCTGGCTGCTGTAGATGATATGGACCTGGTCCGCTGTGGCAGAGTTGGGGATTGTGAAATGATTCGGAGGCTGGTTGATGTCCAATTTCTGGTAGCTTGATGAAGCTGAAGGTAGGATCGATGCCTCATTGCTTAATTCTGTCGACTGACTCCCTTTCCCCCCGGGCCCAGGTGAGCAGAACTACAGGAACCGTTTGTCTGCCTGCCGTTTCCGAACCCCCCACCCGGTGATGGAGTCCGTCAACGACAGGGCGTAGTCTGTGTTGTTTGTCTACTTCGAACCGTCCAGAAAAGTGACGTAGGCGGATATCCCCGGTTCAACGTTTGACGGCGGGATTCACGATTGAATGGTGAAACTGTAGCGAAGTGTCTGTTTGCCTCAACCAGAGCTTCGCATTTCCCACGTTAGTTGGCTTGATTGTGGGGGCGACGAATTAGGACTAGCACGGCTATTTGCTGATAGAGGTGAAAGAGAACGTTTGAAGGTTCTCGTGGGCACACACAGAGCTCTTACGAACATAGTAAATACAAGTGTATTTTATATTGTATTGTATTTTTATGTATTGTCTTTGACTACATTATATTATAAGACTAAATACCTATAAATGTATTATTAGTAAAAAACCCTTACTTTTTTTACTTATAATTATAAAGCTAATTATAAAGCTTATAATCAATATGTTTTTATAATAAAATAAAGTTAAATTAAATTTTTAAAATTCGTTAACTATTATTATTATAAGTTATTAAATTAAATTATTACAAGTAGTTGAAATTCTACTAATTTCTTTTTATTTGAAAACTTAACTTTAAATAAAGCTTAATATCTGGTTTTATATTAACGTTATAAAGTTATTTCTAAAAGTTTAAAATCACGTGATTTTAAGCTTTATTTGAATATATAGTATACTTATAAGAGCATTTATTTATAATATATTATAATAAAAATATAATACTTTTGAAGCTTTAAGTATATAATACGAGTATTACGAGAAAGTGGGAAATCGACTTAATTATTAAAGGCTCACGAATAATTACTATTAAATGAAGGCTATAAATGTTAAAGAAGAGAAAGAGCAGCTAACTATCTTCGAGAAATTTTTCTGGTGGGTTAATATTGACGCCTTTGCCCGTGCTTTAAAGTACCTGGGTGCTGGGCAGTTTAATCGGTTCCTTCCTCTCTGGAGTCTGTACGTACATGAGGCAAGAGCCATATTGATCCCGCCTCGGAGCACTTTCGCGTTTGGTGACCTACGCCTCTGGGCTTGCAGCCTCGCAAAAGATGGCAAAAGTAGGAGACTTGACGATTCACTTTGAAGTCATCCTTTGACAACTTTTCCGTCTTATCCGAAATGAACAATGACATTTTTGGCATTATCACTACCTATCATTACTGTCTTGCAGCATGCCACAGCGAAACACAACCGGCCATTTCTTGAGACCAGCCAATGCTGTCACAACAGGGAACGTACTTGAATATGACGCGGTTCAGATCGTAGGAACATGTCAACTGGTTGGATTCAAGCCATCGAGCCTCTACGATATCCTCGGCAGCATTCTACTCCAAAAAACTGGGTTCAAAAACGGCTTGCACCCTTGCCTCCGCCATCGCAAACCGTTGCACCCACTGCCACCACCCCATCCACCGCCACTCTGTTGGATGGACCAAGTTACCGAAGGCACAGAAGCCATACAAGCATGGATGGATTTGGTGCTAAAGAACCAACGCGGGCCAGACTTTCTCTAGGTGACACAGTTGCGCACTACGAAGCTTCAGCTGAAATGGCATGATGAAAGTGACACAACGGCGTCAGCCGAGCGTCTTGGGGTCAGCCTTGGTCGTCGCGTGGTTTACCTGGCTACGGAGCACACCCCGCATTGACGAGCAAGCTGTGTGCAATCATCATATTTCAACTTCAAGTGGCTTGGATATTCAACGACCATTTCCCCTGCAGAGCTAATCGGCCAGCACACGGAGAGGGCTGCGAGCAACAATTCGGGATGCCAACCGACGAGAGAGAGAAAGAAAGGGAAAGCGATAAAAAGAAAGGAAATTGTGAGCAGGGTGAGCCTGTTGGGATGACAGGGAACACGCAGCTACCTGCCAGGACCAGCGGCGTGCTTGCGGGCGAGCTGCAATGATGAGTTGGCCAACGCATCAAAGTGGCCCGTGTGCAGCGACAACACAGCACCATGCAGCCAGTAATAAGGTGCCGTTGAGTCGTCGTTCGTTGTGTCCTCCCTTTGCGCCGAGCTATATGGGTGTCCTACATCTATCTGGTATTTCTTTCTCTTCATTTCCCCTTCTCTCAAGCCGGCCAGTTTTTCTCCCCCAAAACCCACTATCGCTTTGTTCGCCGCGAGTCATCAGAGCTTACCTCTTCAGTGCCTGCCGCGCCATGAGAAGGGCTGTTCTCTTTCTCATGAACCACATCGCTGCCATCGAACTCATGGTCGACTCACAATGGTCCTACTTGACGACTCTTCCGAATTTGCCCATGTTCAACCTGGGAAAAGGTTGATTCAGGCCAGGCAGCATTCGTACGCCACCCATCAACACAAGCTACCTCTCCCGTCATCACCCCCGAGGGTCGCTACTTGCCAAATGCACAGCATCTCGCTTCATTTCATCCAAAGGCCTCAAACGTCTTATCTGTGCTATGCATACGATGCCTCACGAAGCAATCAATTTGCTCCAAAGAAATATGCTGGACATATGGACAATGAGAAGTTGAGAGGAATAGAAAGCGAAAATCCACATATTGGGCAAGTATCTGTATGCCTTGTGGCCCAAGCCCCAGACCCTATTCTACTCCCGCTCGGCAATAGTCGCTATGCCCCCAATTCAATGGAAAAGCAGGCATCAAAGAACAAGAAAACGTAAACCAAGCAGCAACCGGACCACCAATAATTAAATACTACCCGGCAACCTGTGTTCGTGAATTCGTGAGAGAAGAAGAAATTTATATCGCCAAATCGTTTGAAAGAAAAGTGGTTGATTAGCCTCGGAAGCAATGGGCGGCGTGAATACCCACGCTTCCCCTTCCACCAGCGGAACACAACAAATGGCATTACTTGGAAAAGCCTAAGGGCACAATGCTGTACTGCAATCTGTCATCGTCGTTAATCGTCGTCAGAGGATCATTTCAGCGCCGGACGTTCGTACGCAGAATGGTACGGGAAAATTATCGGCTGGCCCATTTCACAAGAAACTGAACCACAGCATCGAGGTTAGTTTCTTCTTTGGCACTGATACCATAGCAACAGACTTCTCGGCCTTGAATCTGCTTCAAATCCAATTCGTCAATGAGTTCATCGACGGAAAGTTTCTGAGGCAAATCAGACTTGTTGCCAAGCACCAGAAGGGGAATTCCAGCTAATGTTGGATAGCTCATGAGGGAATGCAGCTCATCCTTAGCCTGCGGAATGAGATCTACGTCTGCGATGTCTACGATAAAGACGATAGCATTGACGCCGCGACAATATCTCTCCCACATAGTTCGAAACCTTGGCTGACCGCCAATATCCCAACATTTCAGAGTCACATGGCCCTGTTGTACGCGTTTCATATTAAAGCCGACGGTCGGTATAGAACTAAATAAGATGATGCAGTCAGTTAATGTTTCGTCTCGTCGAGTTCCCGAGATGGAAACCTTGGTGTTCGATTCAAGGCAAAGTTCGAATTTCGAGGGACCATGGGGAAAGAAAAGAATTGCCTACTCGAGAGTAAATTCACCACCCTGCCACGCATTCTGTCAGCTACTGCTCCAGGGAATTGCCGGTCCGTCAACTTACGGCGAGAACTCTTAACAATGACGTTTTGCCGGCATTCTGCAAACCAACGAGCGTAACTTCCATCTCCATCGCCCTAGAGCACCCTTATTAGCACCCTTATCGAGCAGTTTCTGGCATGGTTTCGCAGGTTACAAGTGGGTCAAGATGGCCGAGTCTTGGCTTAGGTCGTGGGAGACTGCGTGCGATTTCTGGGTAGCTTTGACTCACCAAAATGTCCGCAGAAGCCAGTCGTAAACCTTTTTGAATATTCCGGCCATTTTCATCTAGGGTTTTCTTGGCCGGTGTAAATATGGTGGACGAATGTTCGCAGAGGGGCGGAATGTGAGAGATCATGCGTGACCCGCTCAGCTTGGTGGTGGCGACGGCTTTGATCAGAGCAAGGGGAAGCGCTTCGTTTGGAGAGAGCCAATGTATATCTCGTCGTGGGTGACAAGCCGTGAGCAAACAACGCAGACACAAGCAGCCGATGCAGGAAGCAAAATGAGGTCGGTCGGTGGTGGGAAGGTGGGGCTATGAACCAGTGCTCAGTGCAGAGTGATGTGTCTCTGATGAGCAGTCTACGGCGTACGACTGAGGTTGACGACAGTTCGGCTCAGAGCCAAGGTGGCAACTGGTCCAGCAGCGCGTGCGCTGGAGACAACAGGCGAAAAACACAACAAGAAAGAAAAAAGAGAAGAGGGCAAAGGAGATCAGCAACTCGTAAATTTACAGCCAGCGGGGCTATGGCAAAACAATGAATTGTGCGGGACAGGACATTCGAAGCAGTACGGACCGAGTATGTCTGGACGAAACACAGGACAAGACAACTAGAGACCCCCCACCCGAGGCGGGATGGCAGGCTCAGAGAAGCCAGGCCGCCAGGGTAGCGAAGTAACAAGTTGACAAGGTAGCAAGCAGAGCGCAAGCCCGTTGTTCATTGTATGTACACACGTAGAGCCTGAATTGTGGACATCTGGACTTGGGACTGGAGCGGGGACGACCCGTGCCTTGATGGTGTAGTGTCGGCGGCTCCAGTGTTGGATGGCGGTCCGGAAGCTGTGGGGGAGAGAGGTCTCGGTCGGGTCAAGGTAAGATGTACGAGACAATGGGAGAACAGCGAGCACAACCAACAGCACTTGTGGCAGAGGTGCGACGGGGTACTCTGTGCTCGGCTTGACGGGCAGATGATGTTGTGTGGTAGCGAATATTGCTGCCCTGCCGCCGGTACAACTACACTACTACTGCGACGGTGCTGGTGCTGGCCGTGTATCTTCACGACGGGGCGAGACGACGACAACGACAACGACAATGACAAAGCGGGCGGTGGCCATGGCGGCGGCCCAGACTCCGAGCTTGGGCAAATGCGGCGTATGTGCTGTATTCTGTATTTTGTATGCCTGCTTGGTTGGAGTGCAGCCGAGGGTGTGGGTGTGTGCGTGGTGTGTCCATCGACAAGGAGTCACCAGACGTCCTGCCAATGACGATTACTAGGTTCCTCTGCGGCCATTAGTTATTAGCGTTTCATCAGTCTACCGAACCAGGGTAGCAACGGCCAAAAGCCCAACAAGGGTTGCCTCGACTTCAACTCAGACGACGTGCTGCGCTTCGGCATGCAAGCCATGTCCAGCGCCATGTTGTTAGAGCACGCCAAGTGAAGTGCTTTCTCGCACGCCTTGCAGGGCTTGCGCTCTAGCTCGCGGAAGACAGGGCGGCCTCGACGGCTACAACTACTACATCGGAAAGATCATGGATCATGATGATCATGATAGTATTTGCGCTCAAGTGCGGACAGGGGTTGTCTGTAGATGCGGCAGATGATGATGTTGTGACCGGACAGACCGACATGGGTAGTGACAGGTATTGTTCCTGAACGAGGTCAACGAGACCAACGGGGTGCATATTGTGCATATTGTGCTCTCGAAACCGGAAAGCCTGCTCCAGCGGCCCGTCGGATACCCCAGTTGGACACTTCCTCTGCCTCGGTAGAATTCTTTCGAGGAGCCGGCTGAGATGGCGGAGGTGGTTTAGATAACTCTGGGAAATATGACTGCGCCGCGACATTGGATCAACATCGTGTCACTACCACCACGCTGGCCTGGCTTTCCAATCTGCTCAACCTCATCTGAGCACTTTGCGAAATACACTTCTGAGTTGCGTGGAGGGACCTCGCTTTTGCAGCAGCAAGCGCCAAAGGCATCAAATCCAGGCGTCGTCTGTTGTCAGTGGCGCAACGATGAATGGCCTGCAGCCTCGGCGGCAAGCAAGGCGCCTCAGGCGCAACAAGGCCTGGGTCCATACATATCAGCAACCTACTTAAGTACCTTGGGTACTAGGCAGCCAGGTCAACGGCTGCTCAAACATGGGCATTTGCAGCAAAAATAATGGCGCGCGGGAACAGACGGGAGCTAATCGGCGGCCCCGCAGCGCCAATCCCCAGCCTGACATCTCTGTCCTGGTTCTGCGGTTCTGGGTACGGACACACTTGGCCCAGGCGACATCAACAAGACCTGGTAGTGCTTGGAGCACAGCGATTATCAATACCAGACCAATACGTTTATTTTTCACCGCCACAAAGAGCCTACCGCCGAATATTACATACTAGAAAATGCACACCCCTCGCTATGAATCGCTCCAAATCAGATCGCCATGCAATGAATACATATCCAGAAATACCCCTTATTATACAAGATGATGGACCAGAATGGGCAACATTAGAAACTAAACAGGCCGCTTCGTCTCTTCCCCAACGGATAGATAATGACCGCACTCATAAACAATCCTACCGCAATGCCAATCGCAATCTGAATCATCGAGGCAGCAACATTAAACACCACTGTGTTTATTGACTCGCCTTGGATGAGTCTCACCGTGCTCGTACCGTTGATCACGGTTGACGAGTTGGTGAGCTGATTGGCTGTACTCAAACCACTCAGCAAACCTCCAGTCGATGCCAGACCACCCGGTACTTGCACGAAGATTGCGGGAATGAGAGTGGCAGCGGCTACGCCGTGGCGCAAGCGAGAGTATAGATTGGCAAGAATGCCCACAGACAAGGCACCCAATGTATTGGCGATTTGAGGACTAGCCACAAACTTGACGCTGCTGAAGAAGTTGACAATGTAACCCGTAAACGCAATCAAGACCATGACTGGCATTTGCCGCCATTTAGCTTGATACAGAATGCTGATACACAGAATAAAGAACGGTACGAAAATGAAGGTGTAGAGCGACGGCATGGGACTCTGACACGTGGTTGCCGATGTCGCATTGTTATCAAAGAGGCCATACAGAACAGCACCAACCGTTATGCCAAAACCAAGGAGGAGGGAGTAGATGATGGCATACACTATGCGAATCGACCCGGGAACAATAGCGCGGGATTGAAGCTCCAGAGCAGAGCACACTGCGGAAAGATTAGCGGAGCTCAACATCCAAAAAAAAAAAAAAAAAAAAAATCATTTTAATTTTACGACCACATTCAC